CAGCAGGAACCCAGGTCTCTCCCATTGGATTTTACCAGTTTGGAGAGGAGGAAGGAGAAGAAGAGGATGGGGGGGGAGAAGGAAGAGATACATATGAAGAAAACCCCGAGTTTCAGCCTCTTTCTGTGGCTGAATTGGTGGATTCTCTCTCCTCGTGGGTACACCACGTACAGAGTATTCTAGAGCAGGTATGTTCTGGCATAGCTTATGTGGGCCTCGGATGCCATTCACACTGTAGTACTTGTAGGGTTTCGAAAGGTAAAGAAAACTCCTCATCTGCATATTTGAACTTTTCACCAGAAATGGTATTGAACTGAAATATTTTTCTATTGAAAATATATCTGATATAGTATGTAGTACATATGTTGTATATATTTACATATAGCATGTATTTTTATATCTATATATATTTATGAACCTTCTAGGTTTAGTACTTTTTTCAATGTTGGGTTCTTGAGATAAAAACCTATCTTTAGTTTAACAGTATGGAGTTAGGCCTTGACAGATAACAATAATTTCTGGAAATCTCCTGTATTAGGTTTTCTCTTTAAGTCCTTGCTTGACAGAAGTGTTTGAAATTATCTTTTCTTTGGTAGGATGCTAAAATGCAAAGAGCTTATGACTGTATGCTAAATGGAACTTATTTGATGTTTTCTTCTGGTTTATTTTTTTGTTGCTTACTTTCTGCTGTGAAACATGCAAATGAAAAAGCTTAAAACTAAAATATTATAAATAAAATTATGACATAAAATATTTGTGATATCAGGATAGTGATAGAAAGAGTTATTACTAATTTCATGACATTGCTAGATGACTTGTGGGCCAGTCTACCAATTCAAGAATGCTAGTGTAAAATAACAAATGGTAGAAAATAATGTTTAAAATTATTACCAGCAAAACAATACTTGTAAAAATTCCTTGTAAAAATAAAAAACCTCTGTGCATTGGAATCTTAAGAATATTTTGTTATGTTCCTCTGACTGGTAGCTAAATAACAAGGCAGGCTTTAAAACAAAGGGGCCAAGATTGTAAGTGATGGCCTCTTAGTTTGCAGTAACTGGTAACGTAGTAAGGATATAAACCAAACTGTCGAGGAACTGAAGACTACAAAATAACAAAAAGCTGATGACAGAGGTATAAGCTTATTCTGAAATAGTAAGCAGGGATGAGGGAGGAATGAGGGATATAGAGAACACTTTGCCAAGAGGATACTATATTCTGCCAACAATATACCAATTATGGAATATATGTTTTTCTTTTCTCTCCCCTCCTCCCTTAACTCGCTCTGTGTGTGTACCTAAGCCAGTTGTTTTAACTGACTTGCATTCTTTCAGTGATTGTTACATGCATTTCTTATCTTTTCCGTATCATTTATAGGGTCGATGTGTTTGGTTTAATCCTGTTCAAAAATCAGAGGAAGAAGAAGAAGAAGATGAAGGGGAGGAAAAAGCAGAGGAGCCAGATGAACCACAGCAAGAAATAGGACCACCTCTTCTCACTCCACTCTCTGAAGATGAAGGTATTCTTCATGGAATATGAAGGTTTAGATAGAGAGCCACTAGGAATGTTGGCATTTAGGGAGTAAATATTTGAAGTTATAGGACTCTGACATTTTGTGGAGCAATGCAGTTTGCCTTTGTAGGGTAAGCACATTCTTCTACAAAACTGATCAAAATCAAAATGGTTCAATACCAAAAATGGCATTGGCATTAAAGCTGAAACCATTTCAGAAAAAATACCTCAAACTTGTCAGGCTATTGCAAGTTCAAGACAGCTCACTACATGAAATACATTCAGCTACTTTTCCATAATATTTTTAGAAATAAAAGAAGTGTGTGTGCACATGTAAATCAATAAATATACATGTACACACATCCACAGATTTACAAATAAGAATTTAGATCCTGTAGCGTAATACTGCATCAAATCATGGGAATATGGGAACCTGAATATTAAATTACATCAACAGTAAATTATTTTCGTGCTCTCTTTCTTTGATCAGGGTGAAATAAAACTGTATAATTTATCCATAAGTGATGAACAGTCTTTGACAAAAGAAACAGCAGTAAGTACTACTGAATTTCAGTAGTATGGTCTTTTCTGTACGTGACTCTGTTAGCATTCCCATGCTGCATAACTATACATCCAAACCACCTGTTTGAATGAAGCACCTACATTTACTGTTTCTGACTTTTAGCTCTTCTAACATGCAATTTAATATAACCATTGCTTGAATTCTTTGAAAGTCCTGTAGCTCAGACGTAAGTATTTTGTAGAGTCTCATAAATTTATTCATAGACTGTGTGTGTTTGGCTATCTCCAGGAATTCAGAACATCCCTGCTTGGACAGCTCGCTCTTCTACAAACCTGTTACCACAATACGCTGTTGCAATCCTCCAGTCTAACCGATGGCCCGGAGCGTATGCCTTTGCATGTGGCAGGTGAGTAGCTAACTGACATGGTTACAACACAGACTGTATATGCTGAACACAGATACCTGTCCAATGAAGTCAAAGTTGCTTTATTTTTAATTCACTGACTGAATTCTAAGTATTCTGGAGACTGATGGAGAAGGGCCCGTAAATGTGCACAGCAATAGTAAGCATATATTTAAGACAGAAAATGAATAATCATTGGAAAAGCTGGTATAAAGTTAATGGATGTAAATGTCCAGTTAGTATTTGAGCACAGTCCTTGATTTAAAACCTATATTCCTGAGTCTGTGGTACTTTTGTACAAAAATAGCTACATTCTATGGTTCTAATGTTCACTTGTTTCCACTACACATGGTACTGCCTTTTAAATATGTGTGAGCTGACACAGGCAGGATGCAAGAACCACAAAACCAGGGATGAAATGCAAAGAGCACATTTATTCTCATGATCTCACAAACCAGGGGATCTCCAAAACAGCACCCGGGCAGAGGCATGCAAGTGGGGATGCAGGAGCTCAGTCCTTCCTAGAGAGAGTAAGACATTTCAAACCTGCTGTTTTAGCCTGTATATCAAGGATTTTTTTCCTCTGTTGTCTTTTGATCTTTCCCACGGCAGGGCAGAAATCTCAAGCAAGTTTGATAGGATGTCTCTGAATTTATCATAGGCCTATGTTATCTAAGCACAGATGTTCTGCTTGTCAAGCATAGAAGACTAAACAGCAATTAGTACGATATATGTGGGTTTTGACACCCCAGCTGCAGATCAATTGAGCATGTTTGCAATCCTCTTCGACAAACTTCCATTATTATCCCACAAAATACTTCTGTTTTGTCTGCACCACAGTAACTTTTTGCACGGCAGAGTAAGGAAGCCTGACAGTATCACCACTGATGTTTTGCTGGGGGGAGAATGTGTCATCTTTCACTTTTTTTTCTCAGGAAATTTGATAACATCTACTTCGGCTGGGGTCACAAATACAGTCCAGAGAACCACAGTCCCGCACTGCCTCCACCAGTGCAAGCAGAGTACCCCAGTGCACCAGAAATCACAGAGGCAAATGACCCCACTCTGGAAGAGGAACTGGCTTTCAAGACTGCCAAGGAAGAAGCCTTAGCTGCAGCTGAGGAAGAGGAAGAAAGCGAAGACGCTGAGGATGATGAAGAGGAGGAAGATGATTAAAGTATGGGGGGAGTAGTAGTAGTGTTTTCATAAATTAGTCATTAATTAGTTGTCCTTAAAAGAAATGCAAGTGGAGCATGCCTTCTGTTTTTATTTCTGTAGGCTCTTTGCAGCTGCTGTTGTCTGAAAAGTCAGGTTCATCACCCGACATGCAATTAGCCAATCTCACACGCCAAGCTGAGCCACTGATTTTATTTCAGAGCTGTGCAAGGCTAAGTGTTCGGCAGTTTCCCACAAATCAAGCACACCCTACGCAGACATTGCAATGTATTTATTTTGATACATGATTAGCAACACTCTGCCTAAACTTACATTAGTTAGTTAATGATAACCTTATTTTCTGTAATAGGTTAGTTATATTTAAATTAGCCTTGCTTTTCATGGTAATTAGCTCACATGCTCCTTAGAGGTTTGCAGGGAGGTGTGTGTTTTCATTCTTGAGTCGGTGGTTGTGATCTCCCCCTGCTGCATTTACTTTTCCACTGGTTACCACAACGTTTGCTGATTTCACCCTCGTTAGGCAACTGTCCAGCCTTTGTAGCCTCTTTGAGCAGGATGTTCTCCTTTTATCGATCTTTTAGCTTTTCTTCAAGGGCACAAACATTAGTAAGGCATACAAAGAGACTGATTAGTTACAGCTCCAAGGACTGTCGTTTGCTGTCTTAAATTTATGTGCCAGAATGCGTCACTATATACATATGGTTTCCTTCTATGATCCCTTCTTAACTGTTTCACTGCAGCACCAAGACAATGCTACCATCCCTTCCTTCCCTGCCCCACAAGCCCATTCACACCGGTGTGAAGACGGCAGTGCTTTCACTGGAAAACAGCACCAAAAAAATGGCCTTTTTTCTAGAGGAGCTGGCAAACACAGCCTGCTGCTTTTCCCTAACATCCAGCTTTGAACTAATCAATCACCATTCACCAAATGCTCATGTTGTTTTTCTAACCTGCACTACCTACATACATTTTACTTAAACCAAAAAAATAAACAGAATTACATAACATTGTCACTTTTATGCGTGAAAGCATATTATTTAAATTCAGTAGATATCTTATTAAGATAAAGCCCGGGCCCTATCCGCCCGTTGGACGCTACTCTTAGGGCGCAGGGCCCTCGACAGACGAGGGTGTGCCGCGGGACAGCTCACGACAGGGACCCCGCACAACGCTTCCTCTGCCTCCCCCCGTCAGCTGTTGGCCTGTGGTACGCTCCGCCGTTACGTCCGTCCTGCACGGGCCAATAGGAAGCATCCTGGGTAAAGGTTCAAATTCGGTGGCGGTTAGGCTGGGTGGCGGTTAGGCTGAGTCGTTGCTCGGCTGAGTCGTTTCTCGGCTGGGTGCGGGCAGACGAGAAAGGAGCAAGTGGCTTC